CAGGATGTATTGATTCTGGGTATGTGGTATGGCTGGTCTTGGCTGTGAAAAACTGAACTGACAGAACTAAGAAATGAGGCTCGTTTAAATATTTGCCATGAAAAATAACCTTTCGTCTTCACGAGTTGAGGAGTTTGTCCTATTTCTTGGGGTACAAAAAATATAGCCACTGGACGGGAATGAGTGGCAGGTTAAAAGGAAAAAATCGAAAGAAAAGAATCCCTGTCACGCAGATAGAAAGCAATCGATAGTTGCATATAGAAAAGAATCCAGTATCTGTCTATATTTCTGAGATGAGGTATTATGTACATTATTCGGACTATTGTCCTCATCTTTGTTTGCCGCCGTATTGTTGTACACTCCGGACTTATTCAGGTGGTTGTATACTCCGGACTTCTTCAGGTGGTTGGAATGTCGAACTGAACCCTTCTATGAACCTGTTCTAGTTCCACGTTTAATGGATGTCAATTATCTCCCGTTAATTCCCCTCTCCAAGTTCTCCACTGCCTTAACCGCCAATTGAACTCACACTCTTTGAGTCCTGTCACTGGATCTAATTGGATCTCTAACCTACGCTTTTATCCACTGTGTCCTTGAGGACATATGTGCATTAATTTCTAGGTATTATAAACTTAATGTCATCAGAAATCATTTTTTACCAGTGCTCATATTGCAATTTTTGCTGTTATCATTTCATGTTTTTACCAGAGCTCATATTGCAATATTTTGTTGTTATTATCGCTTTTCACTGGCACTCCTTATTACTGGTTCCCATATAAGAAAAGAATCCGTATTTCATTAAAAACTGATGAAAATACAGAAGCGAATGATGAGTAATGGTTATGCTTGTCTTTTGCGCCATGGTACTGGATAATTTGTAAAATGAATGAACATTACGAAACAAGCATCGCCAGGCAGGACGATATTTTCTGTAAAAATCAGACGAATAAATTGCCGGCAGCAGACGAAAGTCTCTCAAGCGTTCGATAAAAACTGACCTCCTCACCACACCTAATCGCTTGCCGCCTACCATTTCTAGTTAAAAACACGCGAGCAGAATCGACAGTAACAGTTATTTTTCCTAATCTTCAGGTCATTGGTTACACGGAGAAGATTATATATATATATATATATATATATATATATATATTCTTGTAACCCGGATATAAGAGAGTTGTCGGGACAGGAGAAGAAGTCTCTTATATCCGGGTTTTCTTATATCCGGGATTCATCTATTTTATATACATTAACAAACATTCTTAATCTGGGACCAGATAAAATCTATCTTATATCCAGGTTTATTTATATATATATATCTTATATGTGGGTTACACTATATATATATATATATATATATATAGATAGATAGATAGATAGATAGATAGATAGATAGATAGATAATATTAGTGGTAAAATACACATACATAAGTATATATACATAGGTTGCATACACACATACATGTATATATTTGGGAATAAAAAATTCCAAGAGGATAGAATCCAGGTAGAACTCAATGTCCAGGACAGAGTAAGGATATAATAAAAAGGCTTAAATACTAATATTCCATGGTCATAATTTATTCCATTGGAATCGTAAATACGATCCAATTCATCAGACCTACAAATTCAAAAAAAAAACAAAAAAAAACAACTCCGGAAATAAAAATAGAATTTAGAGAGAGTGTAAGGGCATGAGAGTGTGGAACGAATGTTAGAGCTAAAGAGAGGGGTAACAGACGAGAGAAGGTGGGAGATTAAACCTTAAACAGAGAGTTTTTAGAGGGGAGAGGAGTGGAAGGGAGAAATATGAATGTTGTCGGATGTCTAATACATTTCGTGGTGACATACACACACCATAGACGATCTAATGTTAAAGATCAGAGTAAGAGGGAGGGAGAGGAAAGGAAAGAAGAAGCGGTGGGGGAGAGAGATGGGGTGAGGGAAACTAAAATTGAAGGACATTTACACTTTTGCTGTTACACGTGGTATATATATATATATATATATATATATATATAATCATTTATTTAAAAATTGTGTTGGTGTTAATAATAAGTATCAGTATAGAGTTATTTCATAGATGTCAAGTCAGGGTAAGGTGGGGGTGTCTATACTGATACTTATTATTAACACCCAACACACGCCTACCCAATTTTAACAATTCGCCCTAGCTGTTACCATGGAAATTTTGATTTCAATTATTAAAACACGTAAATTTCAGAAATACGTTAAAAAAAAAAATTTCGCTTGAAGATGGAACAGAGCTTACTTTAACTCAATTTAATTCAAATAATTATATTGAAGTTTTAGGCACGTGTTTTGAAACATGAGACTTCTTACGTCGCGAGTTGGAATCATATTTTTAAATAAATAATTATATTTATGCTCTACTTTTGTATCGAGCACTATTTTTTAAAAATAATAACTAAAACACTAAGGAACTTTGGATTATTTACCTAACCAGTTCTTTCCTATTTCTATATATTTTTTTATATATATATATATATATATATATATATATATATACACACCACGTGTAATATATAAAATGTTCAAGTCGTATAACACCAAAATTGTCCAATTGTTAGATTAAGCTCTGAACCGTTGTATCTTATAAATGATTAACGATGTCTTTTATAACACTATTAGACTCTACTGTGAGCAATAAGAATGTATAATTACCTTTAAAACATTAAGAGAAGAATCGTAAGGAAATAGATCATAAGCAAAAAAAAAAGACATGTTCATCATTAAAATAATAGCTAAGGAACGGAAGAAAAAAATATATATATATATATATATATATATATATATATATATATATATATATATATATATTATTCCAAGATTATTTTCTAAACTTATTCAAGATGATCTAATTTCTCTAACCTTCGAATATTCAGTACTGAGATATATATATATATATATATATATATATATATATATATGGGGATCTATCTTTGTGTATATATATATATATATATATATATATATATATATATATCCGTGTTATGGAGTTTGGTTATGTGTCGGTTTTTTTGTAATATAGTATTTACATGTATTATAATTGGTATTAAGACATATATAAAATTATTCCGTTCATGAATATATATATATATATATATATATATATATATATGTGTGTGTGTGTGTGTGTGTGTGTGTGTGTGTAGATATATTTAAGAGATATGTTTAGTGTAGAATATGTATGGGTATGAGATTGTTTTTAATATGTAATGTA